CCCATGCCCCAAGTATGGGGCAGACTACTGCAGGCCTGGCTGCTAAGCTACTGTGTTACCAGTTACCAATTAATCATGATTCACTCAGGGACCAGCTCAATACACACTACCTAGTTACTATGTAACGAGTTATTGAGCATGGATTAACACCTACAAAACCACAGACTAAGGAGAGGAAATAATCAATATAGACAATCAACTGCCCCAAGACAGAGACAGTCAGTTGCACAAGTACCCATGTCACGAGTTTTGTCTATCAGCAGCTAGGGGTGCAGGGCCCCAGAACCCCCCTGCACTGATCTCGACAGCTGGCAGGCTTCGTGGCCTCAGCAGGGGCTACCATCCCTGCAGCTTTCACCCTGCTGCACCTTAACACACACAGTGTCACGAGTTTTGACTGTCAGCAGTTTGAGGTGCAGTTCCCCCAAACCCCTGTGCCTATCTTCTTGAAACCTGGCAGGCTTTGTGGCCTCAGTAGGGGCTACTACCCCTGCAGTTTTGACCCCACTGTGGCTTAACACATACATGTGACGTGAGTTTTGCTTTCAGGATTTTGGGGTGCAGTTTCTCCAAACCCCCTATACCTATTTCCTTGAAATGTGGCAGGCCTTGTGGCCTCAGCAGGGGCTAGCATGCCTGCAGTTTTGACCATGCTGTGGCTTAACACGTACACATGACACAAGTTTGGCTCTCAAGACTTTGGGGTGTGGTTTCTCCAAACCCCCTAAACCTATCTTCTGGAAACTTGGCACACTTTATGCCCTCAGAAGGGGCTACCATTTCTGCAAGTTTTATCGAAATCTGGCCGGAAATGACACATTTATCACCTGTGTTGACCTTCCCCATTATAACCTATGGGCGGAACGGTGAAACAGCGGCGAAATGGCGAAGCATTTTGACTTGCCTCATTTTGAGGCTGTTTTGACCATATCTGTTTCATTTTGATTTTGCTGTTTCAACTTCAAAACAGGCTGAAACAATGTTGAAACAAAACTGTTGGTGAAATTTCACACAGCCCAGTTGAGATTAAAATCAGTGGACTAGTAGCAGAGCCATACATTTTCCTGATTGTGGACACAAACTAACCACTAAACCCATCTTTCTTGAGTCCTAGCCCAGAACTTTAACTGAAAGACCATTTTCCTTTAAACCATTTCCCACTTACCTCTTTTCCTGCTTGGTTCCTTCATTTCGAGTTCCATACAAGCAGAATTTTCCTGTTTGTTATAACCAAGTTGCTCCATGGCTGTGGTTATCTCTGCTTCTTTCCTTGGCACCAGCACATTTTATAGTTGCAGGAACTTCTGTCAAGTTTTATGCTGGGGAAAGAACGCCCTTCATGATAGCAACTTCCCATTCTCCTAGTGACTTGACTTCCCTTCTGCAGAAGGTCAATGCAGAGTAACAAGATTCTTGGAAGCTGCAGACTCTGGTCTGTATATTTCCAAACGTTGAGTTCCCTGAATGCCTCGTTGTCTTTTGCTTTTTATAAAATCAGCATGCCTCATCAGATGGGACCCTGTGCTACTCCTGATGCACTGGGTGGTGCATAAGAACTGTAATAAGCATAAGACTTCATAGTCAGAAAAATGAAGGCACCCCACTGATAACTGGATTGTTCCACCCTACATTAACAGGCAGTTTATGATGGCAGTGCCTTAATTCTACAACTGGGAATATGTACTTGGAAAAAGAACTAAAGGGGAATAATGTATCAACCCCAAGACATCCCAAAGTTGCTGAGTTAGCTCTGTTTCTGTGAACTTCTGGTTTGCAGGAGCATGAACTGAGGGCTAGAATTGGAGTATTGGAACCTGCAATAGCAGCTGAAATTAGGCCAGAGGTTTCCCTGCACCACATAGGTAGAAGATTCAAGTTACTTTCTTCTCTCTAAGCACTACTTTTCAGTGTAAAGGTGTTACCGTACTTCAGGGAATTTAACTTGGACCTTTTTGGCTTACAGAGAGAGAAGACAGCAACCTTTCACTTCTCCACCTTATGAGACAGATCTGGACAACTGATATTTAATTGCTTACCTAAATGATTAACAGCTTTAGTGGAATGTCTGGGCCATCGTCTGGTAACCTGGGATTTCTGGCTGCTTTTCCTGCAGCTGCCTATCTTCCTCAGAAGTTCAAACAAATCTGACTCAAATTGCTCCAGCTTGTGCTCCCATTTCATACCTTGAGCATTGCTGCTTCTCACCACCCCAACCACTAGTCTTATAGGATAAAATAGCAAGGATCATAGGTATATTAAATTCCAAGGAACAATTCTTTTGCAAGTTCAGCAACACGATGTTGGGTTAAAAATAGCATTGGTCAGCCTAAGGCTCTGGCTGACAGAGGAAGCAGAAATTAAGTGCTGTAGGTGGAATCTGTGCCTATATGCTCTGAGGATTGGCACTTTGGGTTGAAGGATGGCTAGGCTAGCTGTGCAGACTGGGAATAACCAAAATCCTTGCCTTACACTCGAAGGTCTGTGGGGAGAGAAGCCCTGAAAAGGAAGAATTCACACTGATAGTGGAACCCAGAAGTAGCCATTGTCTCATAGTGGCCTTGGGGAAACAACTCAGCATTTTGCTTACAGCTTCCCTTTGCCATGTGACTGCAAAAGGCACAAAGTTCAGCAGTTTTAAAGTATTTGAAAGAATCATAAAAATTTTTGGCAGACAGCTTGACACCAGCTGTATTTGTATACTAAACAAACCAAAGTAGAGCCAAGATAGTGAGACCTAGTGGAAATGGGGTTGGGGATATTAAAAACCTTTTATAGAAGCAGGACAATGGCTGCCTGCCTTACCTGTGGCAGGCTCAGGTGTGATGTCTTCTTTTGTGCCAGGGTTGACAGTAGTTTTACAAAGAGGTTAGACAATGGATTTTTATAGCATAGTTTGGATAGGGCTGATCCTGCCTGAGGCAGGGGGTTGGACTAGATGTCCTCTGGAGGTCCCTTCCAGCCCCATTTCTCGATAATTCTTGTTTCTAACCAAAGCATCTGTACTCCTCTTCACTGTGTCATGGTCAGTCAGATGTTGCAGTGTCCTCATGCCTGTCATATGTAAGCCGTTCTAAATAGTTCTTAGGAATTAGGTTTTGGTAGTTTCCTTTTACCCTCTTTTGCAAGTGAACTTCTGTTTACCTGAGAAATACTTTCATAGTGCATTCACTAGGCCTATGCTACATGGCTTTTTGCCAGCAAACCTTGAATGCTTGAATACTTAAAAGTCTATCTGTGGTCTGCCTGGAGGGTTACTCCAAGTAGAGAAAGGTGTGGACTGACACCCAGCAGCCCCCTGAATACATCTGATGATCCTTGCACATTCCAGCAGTCTGTTCAGCAGTTGGTGCCCTGCCAGAATCCATTTCATCCTCTGCCAGCCCTGCGGCTATCCAAAGCTGCATGGGGCTGCCAGAAGCGTGCGGTGAGCATCTACCTTGGCGGCAGGCTCTTTGTCCTGACCACAGTTCTGAAAGTAGCAGCAGCCTATGGTAGATGTGATTTGACTCAGCAGAGTCTGTGACTTATTTATCAGCTTACCTAATGTCACTGACTGTTCTTATTATGCAGGGCCTGAGTTTCAAATGCACAAAGTCTACTTTAAATCAGAGAAGAGGAGCCTGTTAAGCCTTCAAAGCCTGTTAAGAATCCTGCTAAATTCTCATCCTTGGTGGCAGTGAGTTCCCCTGTGCACTGTCTAAATTTGTGTGGCACTGTTTGTTAGAAGACAATCTGTACCCTCAGCAGGGTCACCTGGGTGCAGAGTGGGAGCAGTTACAAAGGTCAAGCCACTGGCTGCAGACTAGGCTCAGTATATAAGCTACAGTTGTTGCAGAGTAGACCTAGTATATAAACCCAAGCTCTTCACTTGGACTTTGGCTGTTCAGTGCTCTGCAGCCTGTCAACAGCTGCACCTTTTCCCCTTCACCCTGGTTCTTTGCTTCTGCTGACCCTGTTTGTGTGTCCTGGATTCCCTGCTCTTGACTTCTGGCGCTGCTGAGACTGCTGACATGGATCTTGCTTACTGACTAGGGCTTAGACTTGGACTCTGGTTCTGTTTCTCTCATGGAGCTTTGGGCCCTGGTCTGGATTTGCCTGTGGCTCAGATGCTTGTCTACCCCCACTCTCCTCGACCCAATCCTTACAGTGCCTGTGATGTGCCAGGCATTTTCCAGAGGCACAAGAAGCAACAGTGTTTGCCCTGTTGTACTCACAGGGTAAGGTTGGACAGACAGGCAGGCAGAGATCGGTGAAGGAGAACAGCAAACAAAATGATTTTCTTTACAATTCATGGACCTTCAGCCTCAGTGAAAAATCTTTTTGCTTTTAGGTCCATAACTTCTGCGTTTAGCTTCCTCTCTTTATTCCTTAGGCTGTTTCCTGATGAGCTTCCCTATTTTATTTTGTATCCCCACTTGTAGTCCTTGGTTTCTGCTACACATGTCAGGTGTGTGGGGGGTATTCTTTTTTCCTTGGAGGCATTGGTTGTTGGCTGCAGCCAAGGCTGGGGATTTTGACTGGACTGTGTCTGTGTTCTTGCTGGGACTTAAAGCTGGAGGTTCCTAGCTAGAGGATCTTTCCTCTCTGCTCAGGGTCAGACTGATTGCCATATTTGAGGTCAGGAAGGAAGTTTACCCCATTTTTAGGTTGGTATGGACCTGGTGGGGAGACCTGGGAGGAGGCTGGCTTCCTTCTTTTGTAGCAGAAGCACAACCTCTCCTTGGGATCTCCTGAGTGTATATTAACAACCACTTACAGAAGCAGGACATTGACTACTGTGCCCCACCCCCCTGCTTTCCCTGTGGGAGTTCTGGGTGTGATGTGTTGTGTTAGGGCTGACAGTAGTTTTACAAAGAGCTTAGATGATGGATTTGTCCAGGACTCAAGCAGCCTCTGTGGTGAGTCTTGTTGTCTCCAATTTGGACCTGAGTTTGTGACTAGCTGCTTCTTCCTCTTTTGAACTTCCTGGTTTTAGCCCTCACATTTCCTCCAGCCATAAGCCCTTCCCTGAGCATGTTGCAGTTCATTATGTAAGACTGCCTTCCCAGCTGCAGTAGCTTCTCCAGTGGTGCTGATTTCACAGCAGCTGGGGAACTGGCCCGTTCTGCACAGAAGACATGGATGACTCTCTGCGGCAAGGCTCGGGAATTTTTATATTTGTCTTTGAGCACCTACTTAATGAGGATGTTCTAGGTACAGCATAGTCTTAAGAGCACCAAGTTTTTGTTGAGAGAGTAGTGTACTTGCAGCAGGCTAATGCCCAGCACACAGAAGCTGCCATTATTGACTTTTGCCCGTCACCAGTAAGCAAAAGGTTACAGAAATGTCTTGAGTCACTGGGAATAGGTTGTCAAAGAGGAGGATACCACACATTGTAAGGCAGGTAAATTTATTATCTTGCTGCTCTCCACAGAATCGATTCCTGCGAGAGGAGCATGACTGGAATATTATGGAGAAAGGGGAATTCAGTGAACAAAAATAGATTTTGGATCATTAAAACCCAGGAACGTATGTTCCCAAAAGATGGAAATCTCTGATCCTGGGGCACACTGATACAGTAATTCACCTGGAGGCCCCATTTGGCATTTGGGGCCCCTCTGTGCCGAGCTCTGCAAAGGGAAAATTGGAAACAGCTCCTGACCCCAGAAGCTTATATTGTAATGGACAAGATGGACAAAAGCAGAATTATCCCCATTTTGCAGATGAGATAACCGAGGCCCAGGGAAATGAACTGGTTTTCCCATAGGCATACAATGGGATGGTGACAGAGCTGGGAACTGAACCCATTCCCTCCGTCTCAATCCTGTTCCTTACAAACAAGTATTTTTCCTCCTAGCAGAACTGGTGGGTGATATTTATAAAAGGACACTTTAGTTGGAAGGGCCTGATTGTATCTTTCTCACCAATAGAGAATTATTCCAATGGAGTCAGTTCCATTTTTGCATTTACAGTGGTGCATCTGAGATCAGTAGTCAGGCCAGTGCCAGGATGGATATGGAGCCAATGAGATACAATTGCTCAGCGTAGTAGATCCCCCATGTGAGGACCACATGCAGTGTCAGATCCTGCATCCTAGATCATAGGAAATGCTTTTGCTGTTGGGTCCAGTGGGCTAGGGAAACAAACTAAATAATAAATACCAATCTATCAGTTTTTCTAACCCTGCTTGTCAGGGTTATGTCTGATAAACTCAAAGCCTTGCAATAGCCCCCAAGCCTTAACAGATGTAAATCTTTAGCAACTGTGCCTGGGTTTCATTTTACATTCAGTCATTCCCCTCCCTTCTATAAATTCAAAGATCCGGTTCACATTTCTGTTCACAAATCCAGTATTCCTCTCCATGGCAAGGAGCATCATTCCATTTTCCTCCATCCAGAAGGGTGGCACAGTCCTCACCATGTCGTCCTGCATCATTGGGTTCTCCCTTGTTCCAGAACCTGAGAAAGAGGCCAGAGACCTTGTGGTTAGC